GTTTAGGGTTTAGGGTTTCTCTGACTAAACCCTTGGCTTACCTATAGTCTCCATTGGACTTCCTTTTCGGGGATGCCTTATAAAATCCGCAAAATATTTGATTGGTTAAACCAAAAAAAGAAACTGCCATGGAGACCGCAGGTAATTCCCGAACTCTGAACCCTGCACCCAAACCGTGAATTTTTAAACTCGTCCCCTCAAGTCCTCAGCTCTGAGTCCAAACCATCCGGTGACCTCAGAGTCTGTTGTCGTTTAGAGTTTAGGGGTTTAGGGTTTAGGGTTTAGGGTTCTAAAATTCATCCGGGACCGAGACGCACATCAACTTATTACTAGTGATGACTGATGTAACATAACGGATTGAAACCTTCCCTCCATTCAATCGAAACTTCATCTTTGTGTGCGGGCTTTGGGTTCCTATTCAGGGTGTATGGAAGTTTCTGGGACACTTTGGCTCCCCATGAAGCGGACCCAAGTATCTTATTTAGAACTACTATCTCAGGGACCGGCTTAGATTATAGGGCTGTGGGGAAGTTTCATGTAGAATCCGAAATAATTGCCAATGTTATTCCTGAGGGCTCCTCATTATAATTTCCTCATGATAATTGCACAATAAGCATGCATGCACACACTGCTGCCTCCTGTTACCTTAAGTACTACTGGCACTGCTGTGTTACCCCATACTTCTGCTATTTCCACTACTACCAACAATATTCCTTAGTTTGACTCGTGCAAGTGTCACCTAAGTTGCGATTGTCATTGCTTCTACAGCCACTACTACCCGTTCTACCACTACAATTACCACCACTGCCCTACCGCTACTACCACCGCTATCCTTGCTTTCACTGCTCAAACGCTAGAACGTACTACTGCTACTACCCCTGCTGCTGTTGCTGCTGCTGCTCCTCTTCTTCGGAGGATCGTTCATTCATAGGGTTGAGGGTTTGGGGTTAGCGGTTAGGGCTCTATCTTTTTACCCCAAACCCGAAACTGTCTATAGGGCTTGGGGTCGCAATGCCCTGTCGCAGGAGATACGAAGCTGGGATCCATGGACATCGTCTGGAAAGGGCTCCCTCCAGAGTACAAACAGGCCTCGTTGAAACTTCACCCCTAAAACTCCTGGACCCATGCCGCAAATTCCTCATTAACCCAAAAAGTCCCGTAGATGCAGCCCAGACCCTTCTGGGCTGTGGCAGGGGTCCGGTTGAGGTATGCCGGCATGTCTGAGAATCAGGGACCCTGATGCAAGGCGGTCAATACAGTAGGATCTGCGCTAGTGCTGTGATCATCACTGCGTTTCGTCGCGCAGGTGTGCGTACTTGTGTGTGTGTGTGTGCGGGTGTGTGTGTGTGTGTGTCTGTGTGTCTGTGTGTCAGTGTGTCTGTGTGTCTGTGTGTCTGTGTGTCTGTGTGTCTGTGTGTCTGTGTGTCTGTATGTCTGTGTGTCTGTGTGTCTGTGTGTCTGTGTGTCTGTGTGTGTGCGTGTTTGCGTGTTTGCGTGTGTGTGTGTGTGTCTTTGTGTCTGTGTGTCTGTGTGTCTGTGTGTCTGGTGTGTCTGGTGTGTGTGTGTGTGTGCGTGCGTGTATGTGTGTGACTGTGAGTGTGAGTTTGATTATATCTGTATGTATGCATGTGTATCTGTATATACACACATATCCGCACAACAGTGGCGTTCCAGACACACTGTCAAAATGGAATTGTTGCCAAGTATGCCACAATTTTAAGCAGCCCTTTTTGCTTCGAATTAGCCCAGGACCTTGAAAGGTCTCGTGATAGTTGCATGCTTGAAGAACAAGAACAGACAAGAAAACCAGTAGGGGGCAGCGGCCCAGGGCCACACCCAAACAATAACCTAACACCCGAAGCCCAAAGCAATAATGCGAAACCACAACCCCTAAATAAAGCGCCTATAAACCCAAAACCCGTATAGAAACCCTTACAGCAAGCCCTCATAGAAGCGTTAAAGGAACCCTGAAACCCCCATCCGAGAGGCCAGAGCCATGTGGAAGATCGAGCACTATGAGGTGCACGGACGTTCGGGGTGCCCCGGGCCACTTTTCAGGAGTCACCCTAAACCCCTAAACCCTAAACCCCTAAACCCTTAAACCCCTAAACCCCCTAAACCCCTAAACCCTGAAGCCAGAAGCCCTAAACCCTAAACCGAACCCCTAAACCCCCGACACCCCTAAACCCCTTAACCCTAAACCCCTAAAAACCCTAAGCCCCTA